CATAAACCTCGATTCCCAATCGAGTCGGTAACCACTGCCACAACCAAAATGTGAGTGAGTGTGGTTCATATGCCTCTTGTTGATACGGCAAGTTTGGTCGTAGTCGCTCGGACGTGAATGAAAGTCCAATCTCAAAAGGTTGTCGCAGTAATTATGAACAGGAGTACTCTGAGCGAAGCTATTTTCATTAGGTGGATCATGGATTAATGCGAACAAAAATATCTCTGTTTGAAGTTATAGAGGTAAAATTTGATAACTGGACTGCTTTTTTTGTCAATGACCTGACATCCAAAACCGTTTATAACTTTACTGTATATCGCTTTAAAAGTTACACGTATATGGAACTGACCTTGTTCACTAATCAATGAAGCCAAATGAAAAAAACGATGTCGATTCGTTCTCGAAGCTTAAGCCGTATCTCCCTTGCGGGAAGAAGTACTGCAGCATTGAGAATACACTAAGGATTAATATAACAGTACAGTAGCATGAGCCGCAAATTTCCGAGCTTATATATATATATATACATATATATATGTAACATCCATGATACCGTTTATTGTGATATGCAAAATTTCAGGATATATTGCCGAATCCTTGGGATGAAAAGTACAACCTGTTGGAATGTGATATTGTCTGGTTAGACGCGAACGATTCCGAACGAAAATTACTCGCGGAATGGTTCGAGAACACCAAGAACCGGAACGGTGTTTTGCTGAACATATGGAAGGTGAAACGTCGCACAGAGGTAAGCCGTATGCATCCCAACTCTGGTTGTTCTGTGATTTGAATATGAATAAATTACTACTTCAGGGATAACAACAAGTTCGGGATACCATAACAGTCACATGCTGAACGACTCAAATGGAAATTTCAATTTCAATTAGTCGTTACAGTTAAAAATCACAGATAATATCCATAAATCTGGCGGCTAGCCTCCCTTCCCTCAATACACATATCTGTGTGCATCTATGCTCTTGTCTACAACAGATGTCCTTACGGTAAACAAATGAACCCAGATAACACACTAGGCGCTCCAACCGGAATGAAGTGAAGATCTCCAAACCAACCATTGGTTCCGGTAGTGTGGAGCGATGAAAACGAAAGCAGTCCTTTGAGTTCGGCTAGTCTGTATGCGTCATTCTTTCAGACTCAGAGTTTGTAATATCCGGAACTCTCTTCCACGTCAAGTTGTTTGTGCACCAACCATAGATTCATTCAAGTCACGGCTCGATGAAGCAGTGAAACACTAACTGTTCAGCACCCATGAGTGTGTGTACATATCCTATGGGATTAAATAAGCATCAGCTTTGTAGTTTACCCATAATAAAAATTTGAAATTAAGTGTCAGAGTTGTTGTTAGTGTATATGCGTTTTCGTGTACATCTACAAACTTAAAAGAGCTTGTGATCAGCTATGTATCAGAAAAGATATTATTCTTAAGTCTTTCACATGAAGAAAAGCGATTGATCATTGGAAACGTATCATTGTGTGGCGTTAAACCACATTTTGGCAATATATATAGCTATTTTCAGTTCTACCGCGATAGATACCAGTCGAACAATCAATCGGTCCAGAATGACGAAGTAAACAAGATTGAATGAACTTTGAAGTGAGGCCACGTGGTACCTTTAACTACCGCAGACCGGGATATCAGATTTCGATGAGCAGAATGTTAGCTGAACTTGATTTTACTGCCCGGTCTATACCCGTTCATTGAACAGAATCTTTTGCTGTGCTATGAATATATTGATTGAATATGAATGTCGTGATTGATAATTCACTTTTTAAAGTAGGCTCTCCACCGGTCAGATGATTTCGTGCCATATCGTCTACCGATGCTGAAAAATTGGTACTCAACCGCTGACCAAACTGTATGTATAATTTCAAGTCAAGTTTCAAAAACAAGCACGCATAGCGAACATTCCCGCCC